ATAACACGTCAACAATGAAAAAGAAAAAAGACAAAATATTTAACAGATTATAGTGCCACTCTGTCACTTAACTGACGGAAGGACCAAAAAGGGGCCGGATTTTGAAATTTAGGGACTAAAAAGGAGATTTTTTCGGTACAGGGATCAAAAAGGGGCTTTTTCCTATAGTAGAGGGACCAAAAAGGGTATTTAACCTAAATCCATTGATCATTATGGTGAGAATAATTCTCCCTCCCTCCCCTCATTCCTTTGTGGTCCTTTTGATGATTTCCTTCAAACTCATAAGATTTATTTGGTTTGTTACAATTACCAACTTGAATGTTGACAATCCTTTTTATGGTTTTACTATAATCAATTATGTAAGACCTTTTATCATCTTAATATCTTTTTAATTCTTGCATTCAAGAGATTCTGAGTAAATTTTATTGTGTCACACAATCTTTATTATGGTATATTTTTTCAATTTTTTAGGCCCACTTTGAGCAGTGGATTAATTTTGCATCAATAGAGATTGATCCTAACTTTTCAAAATGGTTTTATCCTAGTAAGGTATGCGGTGTTTTCCTTGCTCTTGTGAGTTGTTTTTACAGCTCTGGAAACTCTTTTATAAGCTATTTTCACATTCCTTTTTGTTGTCGAAAAGTGTAGAACTTTTTTCAAATTCCAAATCCCCCCCCCCCTTTTTTTGGGGGGTTGCATAGGAAATGTTGGATATGGGATTTTCAACTTACACTACTGCAGGAATGGGATTTTCGAACCGAAATATCGGTCCGGATATATAGGAAATCGGTCTGAATATATATCCGGACCGATATTGGTCCTTATAGTTGATCCGAAAAAACCTGGTACGAATAAGTCTAATATACAGACCAACGCATAATCGGTTCATATATATATAATATTCGGACCGAAATCGGTCCGGATATTTCAGTAAGAAATATAAATAATTATTGAGAAATTGAAATAAGCGGACCGAAATTGGTCTCAAAAAAATAATATAATAAAATAATAAAATATATACGAACCGACAACGGTCTGTAACTGTGGGGGGAAGAGGCATCGCAAATATATACGGACTGGTATCGGTCCGAATATTGAGGACTCAGCGGCAACTTTTAAAACTTGCAACTATATCCAGACCGGTATCGGTCCGAATATTGTGGACTTGCTTGTAACTTTTAAAAGTTCCGTATCCCAACAGGCGTCATTCTCAAACTATATACAGACCGTTTTCGGTCCGAACATATAGGACTTGC